TGGCTCGGGCACTGGAGGCTCCTCCGGCTCCGCTCGCGAAGGCTGGCTCTTCAAATGGACCAATTATATCAAAGGCTACCAGCGGCGGTGGTTCGTGCTCAGCAACGGGCTCCTGAGCTACTACAGGTAACTGCTTCCGGGGCGCCGCTCCGCACCCGGCAGCCCCAGCCCCGCGGCCAAGGTCGCCCCGGGCCCGCTCGCATCACTTGTGCGCGTTGACAGCCCACCAGCCTGCAGAGCCCCGGCGCGCGCCGCTCCGCCTGGGCTGCCCTGCCTTGCCTGGGGCCCCTGGCCTCTCTCGGGTCTGGATCGCATCTCCTCTTCCATTGTGTCACTCCCAGCACACAGGGGACACTTGTTCGTGCTGCACGGAAGGCACTGTCTGGGCGCGCACACACACACAGACACACACACACGAGCTCAACTCGGGCACACACACACACACACACACACACACACACACACAAGCTCAACTCGGGCGCTGCTGGCCGGGAACTTGCAGCCAGAGTCCCGAGTCTGTAGGTGTCGCGCCCAGGATCCCCAACACAAGGTTGATTGGGAGCCCTCGATGTACCCACCTTTGCACCCTCCTCCGCAGTTCAGGCCCACGGACCCAGCAGCAGCGTGGCTTCTCCATTCGCTTCCCGTCTTGCCTTTCTCGCCAAGACTTGCCTGCCTTCCTGCCTTTCGGAGCGCCTCGAATGCCAGCGTGCACGCCCCTGTTCTCTTCTTTCCCTGCTTGCATCGCCTCGCCTCACTGGCACTGTTAAGGCGCTCTTCTGGGGAAGCCTTTCTGAGATCCCTTCTGGAGGTTGACGCTCTAGGGTCGTGAAAACATCCGTGTCTTTTTGGCGTGGTCGTTTCTCCTGCACTGGGTTTACTTGGAATGTTTGTGATGATTCACAGTGGAGCCCGTTGGTAGAGTGCAAGGTCCTTTTGACCACTCATGTTACTATAGATAGAAGTTCATTTCCCTTGGGGACAGGACATAAACATTTCCCCCAGGGCTGGACTGCTTGGGTTTTCTCATTGATGGTTGACACCCCCCCCCCCCCAAATTATGAATGCCTGATTTGGGGACACTTCTTCCTGTCCCCTTTACTCTAAAATAAAGTTGTCTTCACTTTGGAATAATACAACTCTGGGGGGGGGGGGACCCAACCCACTGCCCCTGGTCAGTTTGACCCTGAACACCCCCCCCCCTTTGCAACAGACTCATCACCACAGTCACCTTCTCTCTGCTGCACATGTACTTTTAAAATCGTAGATAAGGGTCCAAACCTTTTCTTCCGCGAAAATCAAACCTAACCCAACCCACTGGCAGGGAGTTGAATCTGACGGTAGCAACATTATGGGGCAGAATAGACCTGCCCCGGGATTTCCAAGGCTGTGTTCTGCAAAGAAGGGGGCTGCATGCCACGTCAGTCTCCCGGGGAGTGGCTGGTGGGTTCAAATGGACAGTCTTTCTGTTGGCAACCAAATGCTTCCACTTGGGCTTCTCTTGCTCTTTCTTTTCTCTTTCTTGTGCTCTGTATAGAAGCAGGCTGCCTTCCACATGTGTCTCCCGTGGAGGGACGGGTGTTTTCACACTGCCAGTCTTTCCGTTAGTGACCAGGTGCTTAATCACTGTGTCACCTGGGCCACTCTTGCTCTAACCACAACCCAAGTTGATTACCATCCAGTCGAGTCCAAATCAGAGTGGCCCTCGCATGGAGTTTCTGAGGCTGTGAACCTTTGGGCAAACCCATGAGCCCAACTGCACATCTTTCTTTGGTGAGGTGGCTGGTAGGTTTGAAATGCCAACCTTTTGTTTGTTTGTTTCCTTTATTGTTTACTTAATTACTGTTTTCTACTAGGCTCCGAACCGCCAACCTTTTAATGCCAGCAACCCATTACCTAAATGCACTAGATCACCAGGGCCCCTTCTTCTTTTTTTTTTTAATTTTAATTTTATTTTATTTTTACTGTGTGTGTGTGTGTGTGTGTGTGTGTGTGTGTGTCTGCGCGCGCATACCGTCAAATCAGATTTGACTGGTACAGGAGAAGATCGTTCCTCCTCCAGCAAAGCATCTGGTGGATTTGAACCGGTCACCTCTCAGATTGCAGTGCAGCTTCTTGCCACTAGGCCACCGGAGCTCGCTCAGGGCCCCTTCTTAAGCTAGAGTAAATCTAAGAACAGTATGCTTCTGTTTCACTTAACCTGCAAATTTGACTTAAGGTGCACTTAAGAACGGCTCCAGTTCACAACCTAGGAACCCTGTATAGTGTTTCCTTGACTCCCAGCAACAACCCTAGAGTTAGGCAATAGTTGCATCTTAATGTTTGGAAACAGAGACCACATTGGTGACTTTCCCAAGGTCCTGGTGGAGTCGGGGTCTGAAACGAGTTCTGTTTGTACCCGCTAACCTAAAACTCAAGTTAATGTTGCATGAACCACATAGAAAGGTAATTATTTCCAATAGATAAGTTTATGGGTTGTGATGACATGTACATTTTATTCAAAATGTGTGAAGGTCTCCCTTGTGCAGGAGATTATGTAATAGAGGTGTTTAGAAATCTTTTTCTGAAGAAAATGTATTTAGAAATTTGAGGCTTAAAATGCTGATGTTAAAAGTAGCTCAGCTGGATCTCTATCACTAGTAAAGTTAGAGGTGAATGACCCCTTTACTTACACGCAACATACCACATCTGCTTTCCAGGATGTTGTGTGTGGTGGGGTGGGGGAACTAGAGATGGGAGTCAGAGGTCTCGAAATGGGACCACGCATCAGGCTTCTGACCAAAAAATGCCTGTGATTACTGGCAGTCTCGAGTTATGAGTGAGATTCATTTTAACTGTCTTTAAGAAAGTTCAGTCAAAGTTGTCCATAAGTTAGAACAGGTGCATAACAGTTCTCATTTAGCCTTTTCAGTGGTTTCAGACCTGCATGTATAACAAATGAAGGTGACAATGATGAAGAATTTGTGTAGGGTAGAATTTGTTCCATCATTTCGAAGGAGGGCAAAGCTGGATATTGATAACACAATGGATTCTTATTGTATATGTAACATTAAGTGTGAACAGTTGCATCTTGTATTCATAATTTAATTATAACCCTTTCTAACTACTCATTCAGGTCTTTCGGATTAATCTAATCACAAATCTGAAATTTTCATTTGTTCCAAAGGCCAGCTTTTTTTACGACTCTGTACTTACATGTTATCATTGATTAACCGTCATTACAATGTTTACTTGATTCATATCCTCACTTGGCCCATATGTTAATATTAGCACTGGTGCCCCATTCTCAAAAGTTATGTTCTGTTGAGAACCTGAGTGTGTGTGTCCATTCTGCTTGATCGAGGTTCTTATGTAGGCCACTTGATCGATCAGTACCTCTCATGATCAGTATTGATCTTGATCTTTTTATATGTTTATATGCTTTTCTCTTGAAGTACCTGTAACCACTTTAACTTCGCTCTCATGAAAGCAGGTGGTACCTGTCTGACTACAGATAAAACTCCCAAAGCACACTGAGCCACATGTTGGGAAATATGCCATTTGGCCTTGTCCTGCCAGCTGAGATGGTACCACCCACAAAGCAACCAAACAGCAGGCTCCTGAGTTACCAAGTTCATGGGTTACCCTCCGAATCACATTCCAGCACTTCCTGCTAATGAAAATTGTGGTTTATTCTCGGTGGGGTTTTATTGGTCTATCATCTCACCCCTGGAATTCCGTAGGCATATTGCCATCTTCATGACTTTATATCCTTCAAAACCTACAGTCTCTTATGTATGGCCTTTCAGAATACTGCCTGTCTTTTCAGTGAATCATGTCTTTCCCAAACCCACCCCCAGGTGAACTTTCCTAATAGTCCTTGACAGGTCACTCCCTTCTTTTTAACTGTCCTACTCTTAGGCATCCAGATATGCCCCTTTTCTTAAAATCTTACAAAGATTCCACAGTCTTCTCATAACAGGCCATAGCATTAATTTTCTTGGCCTGCTTCTAGAGATTGAATTACTGTTTTGTCTGACTTTTTTCAGGGAGCAATTTTCTAGCCAGGACATATATGGATTGAATTATTTTCTCTTCTCCCTCTGCCCCTGCAACATGCATTGTGAATCATAACTTCTGTCTTGTGATTAGAATCCCATTTGTAAAAGGGTGGTGACTTAGTGGTAAGGAATTGCCTTGCCAACCCAAAAATTCTCCGTTCAGATCTACCTGTTGCCCCGTAGGAGAAAGATGGGCAATCTCCTCCTGTGCAGTTTACAGCCTCTGCAAACCCACTGTAGTGTCAGCCATGTGTCAGTTTGACTTGGTACATAACAAGAACATGTTAATGAAGCAAGCTTAGTATGGGGTATATCTAGACAATCTCTTGACATATGAAAGGTTACAAGCAAATTAGAAGCAGAGATGGAGGAAGAGAGACTCCAAGCTTTGAGGGGTTTCCCCAGGAAAAGAAGCTCAAAAAGACACCAGAAAGCAAGCCAGCTCTCGAATTCAGAGTTCTAGCTTCCTACTGTATGAGACCTGTGTAGAGTTGCTCTGCTAACTTATAGCTGGTTTGCATCCTGTGGTGGCTCCCGTCTCCTCCTGTGAGATTTACAGCCGCAGAAACCCAGCGGAGGGCCAGGTCCCAGTCACTTCTGTCCTGACAGCAGGGCGCTTGAGTTTAAACTGAGACATTTCTGTTTGTTAAACTCTCTGCTTGTGGTGTTTCTGTTCTGGCAGTCCTAGATAAGTGCGGCCGAACGAGGACGTTCCTCTACAGCCCACCAGGGCCTTAGTCTCGAGCCGGCACCCTCAGGTCAGACCCTGACCTCCCAAAGTGTGAGCAAATAAATTTGTCGTTGTAAAGCCATCTCCTTGTGGTACTTCTGTTATGTTGTCAGGTGCTGTCAAGGCACCTACCACTCTTTGTTGCCGTCACTGTGTCAATAACTAAGAAAACCACCTCATGCTGCAGTGTCAGCAAAACCTGCACTCCAGACCTTCGTGTCTCCAACTCACACACTAAACGCTCATGACCATGTGTCCACCTCTGAGCCCAACTCTGCCTTACGCCCAGGTTCCCTTAGTGTTTTTCAAACTGCTGCAGACTTTTTGTGATCTGAGAAACTTTCTTTAGTTCAAGAAGATTACCCAGGTTGGAGGCTGTCAGGAAATAATTCATGAAAAGTGTCTACATGGTGGAATGTGGTGGGGAGTCGGGGTCCACACTGGGAGGAGAAAGGTAGAGAGGGCTGGCCCGCCGGCTGTGTGTCTAATACAGCCTGCATTATTCATAAGGTAACTGAAGCTGGGCTGTGGGGTCGGGAAGGAGATTAGAGTAGAAAACACCCCAAGACTCATGTTACAGTGTGGCAGGTGCGAGGGTGGAAAATGGCCCACTCCGTTGAGACCCCCGGGGCTGTGCTGTGTCATTCATTTGTCCATTTGTGGAAGAAGACCAGTGCCATGTGGAAAGTCAAACAGCAACAAATCTGCTCTCCCTAGCCCAGTAAACAGACTCTCAAGGGGTGTGTGTCATGTCTGGCATGCAGGCCTTCTGGACCTGCCAGGTGCACTCGGTCTCTTGGCTCCAGTGAAAGGGAAATGGCTCTGCTTTGTGCTGTGGCGGTTGGCAGAGGACTTTGACCTCTTCGTGTTCCAAGTTGGGCTGGGAAAAGTTTGGTCTCGATATGCAAGTCCCTAAGCATGACCAGGAGGTGGTTGGGTCATTGGTTCACATTGACCCTGACAACAGTAAATTGTGTCAGAAGCCTGAGCCACTTACAGCTTGTTGCCACCAAAGAGTTCAGTAAAGTTCAGAAGTCAATTTATTAATAGAACTGTCAATCAGTAGAGATCAAGAACATTTTGACACCTAGTCCTCTGAGAAGGGACCTGCTGAATTGCAGCTGTCTATTAATAGATGGCTTAGGAGTTCCCACCGATGGTAGTGAGTGGACCTCAGGCAAGAACATAGTCCAGAAAGATGATAAAGCCTGTGTTTCTTTCAAAATTCCATGTTTACTACCTCAGGAATACATCTGCTTAGTCCTGCTTCATGACCATCATGACCATAGGCAGTATGTTGTACGCATAAACAAAATAATTCCAAGTGTGTGCGACAGTTCTCATCTAGGGTCAGTTACAGTGAAAGAATGGTTCAATATATGTTAAGAAGAATTGTCCTTATGGAAAAGAAAATTTTGGAATTTGTAAATTATTACTTTGTAATATAACTTCAAGTTTTTTTTCAAGTGAAAAAGTAATTCCCATCTGCCAGGAAACATGGGGGAACCGTTTTCAGGGTGGTGGAATTGCCCTACATTGTTGTGGTAATAACTCCAGAGTGGCTTTACTTTTGCCTGAATCGCTGCCTATTTAAAATGGGTGTACGGCCTCTATAAAGCCTATTTGTAAAAGGGTGAGAGGAGCCTTGGGGCAACAAAATGCAAAACAAGTAGGAAAGGATATGCCTACCAGTCTTTCCTTGAATTTTACAGAGCCAGTTGAGGAAAATAGCACAGGAACCTGTTGGTTCCAAAGGCTGCAGTATTTCCAAAGGGCTAAGAGTTAAGAAAAGAAATGGAATGTGATGAAAGGTTAAACTCCTGTCAGCCTTTGAGTTGACCTGTCTTTGTGCTGCTGTTGCAGGTCAAAGGCAGAGATGAGGCACACCTGCCGTGGTACCATCAACCTTGCCACAGCCAACATCACCGTGGAGGACTCCTGCAACTTCATCATTTCCAACGGGGGCGCGCAGACCTACCACCTGAAGGCCAGCTCAGAAGTGGAGCGGCAGCGCTGGGTGACAGCCTTGGAACTGGCCAAGGCCAAAGCCGTGAAGATGCTGGCAGAATCAGGTAGGAACTGAAGTACGGCATGCTGAGGGAACTTTCTGTGTGCCCCTCTTATGTGCGGACTGTTTGTTTTATTATGTTGTTTGAGGATCACTTATGTCCTAGATTTCTCAAGCTTTTACCCATCATACAGTATTTCTCCTAGAGGTGACTTTCTAGTGGAGGTGGACCCAGGGAACAGTGTCTGGAGGCATTTTTGGTTGTCACTGTTGTGTTGTATGGCGAGATGGTGTTTGCATGACTGGTCTCTACCTAATAGAAGCCAGGCGGTGCCTGGACGTTCCCTTATAACCAAGCGTTACCTGATTGGAAAGTCTGGGCTGCCAAGATGGGTTGAGTCTTGTGCTACAGGGTTAACAGGCATGATTTTGCTTGTAGTGTCAATTGACTGTTTTGAAGTTGAGAAATAGTTTTTTATTAATTCAGTAGTTTCTTTGTTTCATTTGATAACCTAACAGTGTAAGGTAAATGTGCTCCTTGGTAGTGGTGGTGTGTGCATTCCAAGAAATTCTGACTCATAGTGAACTGATAGGACAGGCTAAAACTGCCCTAAAGGTTTCCTAGGCTGTCATATGGTCACTAGGGCTTTTCTTCTATGCTGTGGCTGTTAGATTTGAACCACTAAACATTAGCTGCCCAGTACTTACTTGCTGGCCTTAGCCGTTTTGGTATTCTGCCAAAGTCCTTGTTAAACTTTCTATGTAAAATCTTTCATTTGTTACATTAGCTTCTTCAAGAGAAATGGTTGGCTAGTCTCCTGGGAAGTTAAGAGTTCAGTCATACTGTTCTTCTTAATAAGATAGTAACTTACTGAGTTTTGATCTACTGTTTGTGTTCATTATCCCTGCCATGTCTATTTATTAAGAGATGAAAGAAAATTCACTTCTGTGTAAATTATTTGTAACAGGTTGTATTTTGACTGTGTCCCACTTCTCTGTCTAGCAAACAGGGCCTGTCTGTTCATTACTTCTTTTTTAGTGCTGTTAGCTTTCTTCGAGGAAGTGGCGCCGCTAGAAAAGCCTTTGCAGTTACAGAGTGTTAAGTACAGATTGTTAGCGAGAGGCACAGCGTAGCTGTGTTACTTGACTTCTTGTTGGGGCTTTATCACCCTAAGACCTTGTATTGTTTTCTGGGTGACTTCAGTGTCAAATGAGTTCATTAGGAAATTCCTTCGCTTTCCTTTATAAAGGATGTTTTGGGGCCACACGGTGGTAGAACGAGGTGGAGATTTTCTACTTTCCTAGAGGGCCCAGTAGACAATATAGATTCGCATCAGCTCCTTTCTTGGGCTGAATTGAAACTGGCAAGCTAGAGGTGAGAGATGCAATAACTGATTCCCAGGAGCCTTTCCATCTCCAGCCCCTCCTCCAGGTCAGGGGTTATTGCATATTAATGTGCTTCTGAATTACCTGGGAGGCTTGTGAAAGGTGAGGATTTGAGGCCTTCCCTCACACCTGTTGAATCAGAATCTCTGGGATTCAGGCCCAGAAACTGCATCTTTAGGAGCCCCAGAGGTGTTTCTAAGTGGCCTCTGTACCACCCTGTGCAAGCCGCCCATTCAGAATGCCCAGTGTGAGGAGTGTCCGGTTTGGCAGTCGACACAGTTGTCAGGGCTCTGATGCTCAGTCTTGCTTCCTTGCCTTTTCACACCTGCAGATGAATCAGGAGATGAAGAGTCCGTCTCACAGACAGACAAGACAGAGCTGCAGAATACCCTCCGGACCCTCTCCAGCAAAGTGGAGGACCTGAGCACGTGCAATGACTTGATAGCCAAACATGGAACAGCCCTGCAGCGCTCCCTCAGTGAGCTGGAGTCCCTGAAACTGCCTGCTGAGAGCAACGAGAAAATCAAGCAGGTCAACGAGCGGGCTACACTCTTCAGGATAACATCCAATGCCATGATTAACGTACGTGCAGAGGGTGCCTGTAGTGCTTCCTGGTTCTTTTCCAGTTTGCGGTCAGACTCTCCCCAAATGCCCAAAAATGGTAAATCAGGTGAAGCAGAGAATGTGAGGCCCTGCCTTGCTGCTCAGAGGCTTTCATTTACATTGTCCAGTGAACTAGAACAATCTGCACAGATGAAATGCCTCATGCTCAGCGCAGGCCATGGAGGTAGCACGCCGTTGCTCCAGCTGAAGCATGAGTTCCAGCCCCTTCTCTGTGACCAGCAGGCCATCTGATGGCCATGGCATTGACACCCTTGACTTCTCTGGGTAGTATAGATTTTATTTTTTAATCTCACTTTATCTGTTAGGTCTGAAGCTCTTCATCAGTTCTTTCACTCATGTTCTCTGAGCTTTAAGTTGGAGTGTTAATGTATCAGAATACATTCTGCCAGTGTGTTGATGCCTCCTGTGTGAAAGTTGGGGGTAAATTTAATACTACTTAATCCCATGTTTAGTCCCTTGGTTTTAAGGAGCCAGAGCTCCCACCTCCTTAAAACTCCTACATTGGGCGGCGGCTGTTGACTTGCAGAACACTTGAGCTGCTTGGGTGAAAGGCTTCAGGCCAACACAGAGCACTACTGGCAATATTGATGTAGTTCAGACAGTAAATGATAAGGAGGAAATGAATACATGGCTTAAACATGCTGCTTTTTCTCTTCCAGTGACTGATTCTCACCTGGCAGGTTATTTGAACTAAGCTTCCACATAAAAACACTAGAAGGAATTTCATGAGGGAAATGAGAAGAGTGTTCTGTGAGAAAGGGTTTATGCAGCTTGTTGAGGGTTTTTTATGTTTAATTAAATGGGATGAAATTACCTTGCTAGGGCCAGCTTTTCCCTTGTTTAAGGAGTGATATTAAGACTTCTGCTTAAAACTAACTTAATTCACGTGCTTCATTCAGAGAACTTGTGACCATGGGAAAATCTAGACTCACTTAACCCCTTTGTTCCTTGATAAAAGGTTGTGACAGCCTTTATTTTCGTATCGTTTTCTGTGATTTGACACTTTACACAAGGCAGAAAGAAGATAAATTCTCTTTCCCACTTCTAATGGGAAGGAATTGCAGGAAGGTGAAATACCCCCAGGAGAATGCAGCAGATGGGCAGTGATGCCTCTCTCTTGAGTTCATTACGCTTTCTCCATGCTGTGGTGCTGCTGGGTGATGGCGTGTCTGTTTTTCTTCCGGCCCTTTTGTGAAATTTCATCAGTCACACAGGCCAGTAGTAGCAAATATGTATACCTTACATATTACTTCTTAGCTTGAACAACCTAAGAAGCAACTACTGCCTGTATTCACGTTACCTCTTACCATGTCAGTTGAATACACACTCCACTGATCCACTGACAACTTCCCCCTCCCCTTCGCCCTCATTCTGGTTTAAAGATTTGCTAAATAAAACACCTTTTGAAAAGAATAGCCATCTTTGTTCTTGGGGCACTTCTTCCCAAGTTTTAATGTGTCAAATGTGTGTTAAAAGGAGTGTGATTCCTGTGAAGTCAAGGTTAGGTCTTGTTTTCTCATTCTCAATACCTCTGGTGTGCTGCCTGCACTGCGCCTTTAATAGGTGGTTATTGCTGGAAGAGCATTTTTTTTTACTTTTTTTTTTTAAGAGCATTTTTATGCCAGTGTTGTTGCTTTTAAGGTAATGATGGTACAACCTTCAAGTGTTATTTGCATGTTAAAGATGAGCAACAGCTGGATAAACTAATCACCAATTTTATACGGAAAGGAAAGAGACTTGAGATGTGTAAAGCAATATTAAATAACAACAAAGTCAAAGGTCCCATCTTTCCCATCTCTAAACCTCCTGTATGCCACCATAGTCAAAAAGGTTCAGTGACAGGCAAAGACCCGTGGAACAGAATTCAGAACCCAGAGTAAACCCCCTGCCACAAGACAGCTGATCTTCGGCAAAGTCCATTAAACGGGAGAAGAGAAGGTCTCTCTAAAAAAACGGTGCTGGCAAAACTTAATATCCATTTGTAGAAAAATTATCTACCAAAATATACCAAAGCTGACTTAAGAGGGATGAAAGACCTTAATCTAAAACCTAAATCTATAAAGATTAAAGGAAAAATAGGGGCAAACTTAGGAGCTCTAACTTACGGCATAATCCATGAGCCATCACTTATAACCCCAAACAGAAGACAAATAAGATGACTAGGACTTGTTCGTTAGATGACTTAGTGGCGTCAAAAGCCTTCTCCAAAGGAGTGAAAAGAGAACTCGCAGACAGGGAGAGTATGTTTTAGCAGCAACGTGTGGACTAATATCTAAAATTTATGGAAAAATTAAATACCTGAAAAACAAAAAGACAATCCAATTGAAAACATGTGCTGGCCAGTGACAGGAAAGAGTTAAGTCAGATGAAGATGGTGTTTCACTCAGTTCCCCCATTGATTAGGATACAGCTTTTCTTACTCCTAAAGTAATCTAACCTAGGAGGTAAATTTGACACTATAGATATCCACTCACTAATTCATTGAACATGCATCCAACATCCTCTGTGCCCTAGTTAAGAAGCCTTGGTGTAATGCATGTGTTGATCTTGAAACCAAAAGGCTATTATTTCTAATCCTTGAGCTTCTCCAGTTAGAGAAAGATGGGCAGTCTATTCCTGTAAAGATTAGCAGCCTCAGAAACCAGCGTCGTTGTTGTATACCTTTGAGTCGGAACTGTAGCTGACCTCTGGCGGGTTTTCAGAGGCAGTTTTAATCGCAATAGGAGACTGGGCATCTTTCTCCCATGGAGCAACTCGTGGATTTGAACCACATGCCCTCAGGATTGCATTGCAGCTTTTACCACTAGGCCGCCAGAGCTCCCTCTCAGGGGAGTGGGGGGCAGCGGAAAGAAACCATTGAAGGGTTGGGGGGGTGGGGGGCCATGAATAAGAACTGACTTGATGGTGCTGGATTGTCGTGGTGGTGGTGGTTATGTAAAGAACCCTGCTGGTGCGGGTGTCCAGCAGCAAATGACAGGTCAGCAGTTGCACTCACCAGCTGCTCTCCTCCCATAACATTTTGTAACCTTGAAAGCCCAGTGAGGCAGCTCTCCTCTGTCTTACAGGGTCACTGTTAGTCGGAAGTGACTTGGTGGCAGGGAATTTGGTCTGGTTTCATGTTGTAGGGACTGTGCGGGGGGTATAAGGTAAATATGGACAGGGTCTGTGTCTTCGTGGACGATCTCTCTAATGTAGGGCGGCCAGAGGTAAACCATTGTTGCAGGGTGTGGTAAGAGCCATGAAGGCATGAACGTGGATTGCTGCGGTAGCACACTGAAGCTTTTAACCTGGCCCAGGAGGCGTACAGAAGGGAAATACATTCTGGAGGAGCAGTGAGAATCTTCTTGGTGAAGAACAGCAGTAGGGCTTGGGCCCTGGAGCTCAACTCTATAACCAGGGAAACCTACATTCTCTCTGTCCTCAGATTTGATCTGTAAATGGTGGTGATTTAGTAGTCTCTTTATAAACGCAGGGGGAAACTACCTTATTGCTATTGAATTGAAACCACTTCTTTGCTGACCCTGCAGTGGGTTTTCAAGGACTGTAAAAGGCATGGGAGGAGATTGTCCATCTTTCCCACAGGAGCCCCTGGTGGATTCAGACAGCCAGAGACGGTGTCTTTGGGTTACAGACCCTTCCACCAGAGCTCCCTCATCCTCACAGGGCTGTGGATCTGCCACAACACTGCCTCGGATGGTGTTCAGTATTACGGAAATGTAGAAAAGGGACTGGTTGGTTGCTCATGAGTTTGGCCAGGTGGAGAAAGGCAGGGCATTTAAGCAGAGGGAATAGCATGTGCTAAAGCAGGTCTGAAAGAAGGCTGGCTGTCCAGATGCGGTGAGTGGCTCCTTGGGGCTCTGTGGTGTAGAGGGAGGTAAGTGGGTTTGGGCCCTACTGAGTAGGACCTTTTACCCTGATAACCAGTGTGTAGGATTTGGTCCTAGTGCTTGGAGGCAGCCATTAGCAGGACTGATAAGGATCAAATTTCTTTTGATCCTGGAGATCCCTTCTTTGGCTCTTCACATAGGTGTCTGAATTTTGGGGTCAGTTATTTTCCTTCATATTTGGTGGAGCCTCTGTTCTGCGTGTGTTGAATTTCACAGGTTAGTTTTAGTCGGGACTTTCTATTAGTCACAACGTTAGCCTAGACTACAGTTTAGTCCAGACTTGATTGGAAGCTGTCACCCCAGGTCTTCTCCCTTTACTCTCTGTTGGAAGATGTCAGTCTTGGTGGTGTTCAGACAGTTGCCCTTTGTGTTGTTTCCGCAAATACTTTGTCTAGGTTTACTGCTCGTTTGGCATTTGCTTGGTTCTTATGACCAGGAAAATAGAACCATGACAAGCCTGTGCCTTTGCAGGGTTTGACCTTGCTTGTAGCACTGTGTTGGTGCTCACTGGTACTAGGGAATTAAAGGCAAAGTCTTTCATTGTAATTTTCCAGTGAAAGTTCCCAGAAGAAGATTACTTAACTCACTGACAGTGGCCCGAGGGAGACTTCTTGACAAGCTGAGTTGAGGTGACACTGTCTGTGCTTTCCCTGAACAGGCCTGCAGAGACTTCCTCATGCTAGCCCAGACTCACAGTAAGAAATGGCAGAAGTCCCTGCAGTATGAGAGAGACCAGCGCATCCGCCTGGAAGAGACCCTGGAGCAGCTGGCCAAGCAGCACAACCACCTGGAGAGGGCCTTCCGAGGAGCCACTGTGCTGCCGGCAAACACACCAGGCAGCGCAGGGTCTGGCAAAGGTGAGGTGCTCGGTTCTGAGGTGGCCAGGTAGGGAGCTGAGGGGTTCTCTGCACTTGCTGTCCAGATTCCGTAGGATCAGTGACTTCTAGAACATGGACCCGGAGCAGTTTGTTTCTCCCAGCTTTATGCTTTCTCCCATTTCTTACTCTGTTTATCGTTAGTGTTTTAGAGGCCAGGCTCTGCCAGGGTTCTGGAAATCAGAGCCAGAGTGCATGAACGAGGCTTCTCTTCTTGTAGATCAGTGCTGCTCCGGCAAAGGCGACGTGAGTGATGAGGACGATGAGAATGAATTTTTTGATGCTCCTGAAATCATCACTATGCCTGAAAATTTGGGCCACAAGTAAGTTATCCGTGACTCCTGAAGAAAGTAAACATAATGCCTGTTTGAAGACTGTTGTATGCCAGAACCAACCCATAGCTGACCCTGTGGCGGGTTTCCAAGGTAGTAAACCACGCAGCAGGAGATTGGCCATCTTTCTCCCATTGAGCAGCTGGTGGATTTGAACCGCATACCTCTGTGGTGGCAGCACAGTTCTTTACCACTAACATTTAAGTGGGCGTGGCACTGCTGTCAGTGTCAACTGAGATGATGTGGGCACTCTTCCTTGAGCAAATGCATAACTGTCAGTGTTTTTACATGAGCGAGTTCTCCAACTTCATAGTCAGAGTCCTTCAGTGGAAGTTTCAGAGCATCGATTTCAAAGTTCACAGTCGTCCATTAATAGAGCTTTACTTAGCAGTGTATGCTGGGCATTCTGCTTTGTAAAGAGATGGCTGGCACAGAATCTCTAGTCTCATCTCTGCTGTGATTCTCCTCCATCTCCCATCTGTACAGACGTACCGGCAGCAACCTCAGTGGGGCCAGCAGTGACATCAGTCTTGATGAGCAGGTAGGTGGCTCTCCTGCGGACTTCCCGGGGCTGAGGGCCTTGGTGCATGTGGTTCCACAGCATCGATTTGTAAAGAGTGAGGACAGAAGATTCTGGTTTGGGCACAGGGGAAGAGAAGGGTGAGAAAAATCCCGTGTTCTCTGTGCGTTATGGGTGATTGAATGGCTTTGCTTTTGTCCTCAGTACAAACATCAGCAGCTGGAGGAAACCAAGAAGGAAAAGAGAACTAGAATACCTTACAAGCCCAACTATAGCCTCAACTTATGGAGTATCATGAAGAACTGCATTGGAAAAGAGCTCTCCAAGATCCCCATGCCGGTGAGGTTCTTGCACCCTCCCTGGGCTGGTGGCCGGAAGTCCTCTCAGGTCCCGGTGGGAAGAGTGCTGGGTGACAGGCCTACCCCGTTGTGTGGCACTTTGGAGTGTGCTCTTTGTTACCATCACAGTCTTCAACTCTCCCTTCAGAGTAACCGTGTTTATTTTGCTTATGCATCTGATGTGTCCCCAGATTACCAAGAATCAGCTGCATTTGTGCAGTAACAGTGATTTATGAGCAGATTGCTCATCGTGTGCTGCAAGCGTGCAAAGATGAACAAAGCCTAGTTCCTACAGTTCAAGGAAAAGCCAGGAAATGCCGTTTTCTTTTACAGAGTTATGAGAAATAGAATACATGTAAAGGTGGAGGGACACAGACATAAGCACAGTTTGTTACTACCAGGAGGAGGAGGACCCTCTCCGTGGTGCAGGTGGTATCTGGGTTGACCGCCCTGCTTCCAGGCCAGCCTGCCTGCCTTGGGTCAGCCACACTGTTGCCAGAGCAGTTGGGGTGTTTTGTTTTGTTTTTAATTTTTATTATTGTTTTGTGTGTGTGTACCGTCAAATCTGGTCTAACTGGTACAGGAGGAGATTGCCCTCCTTCTCCAGCAGAGCATCTGGTGGATTCAAACTGCGTACCTCTGGAATTACAGTGTAGATTCTTATACCAGAGCGCTTTTGTTGTTGGTTTTGTTTTTTTGTTGTTTTTTTTTTTTTAATTGCAAAATCATGTCAGTCTCTAGCTTAAAATCCTTTACTTGGAACTTAATGTTTTTGAGGATGGTTCTATAAAGCTGGGGAACCCGGGGACACTATGGTTAAGTGCTTGACTGCTGACTGGTCAGTGGTTTGAACTCAGCAGACACCTTGTGAGACCAGTGAGGCAGTCTGCTTCCCTGAAGGCTGTAACCTTGGAAGTCATGCGCAGAAGTTCTCCTCTCTCCTACGGGTTGTTACGAGTTGAGAGGTAACAGGTTTGGTTTAGTAAAAACGTAAGGGAGCTAGGATAATAGCCAGTGACTAGCAGGCTCTGCTCACTGTGTGGCACTTGGTACACTAAAATGTGGGAAGTCGTTTCTCTGCGTCTTGGGGCTTATGGTCCATCTGTGGTTACTTCTCCATTGGGTGGGGACTGGGTCTCACTGGGCTTTTATGTCCTTGATGCATAATAAGCCCATGCTTAGCTTTGAATATGTCATTCAGTCAGTGTTTAATTCATTCATGAATGAACTGGGTCTTAGAGAACAAATAGGCTTCTATATAAATTACAAATATATGGGGTTTTCATGAAGAAAAATTTGATGCTGTAAACAAGCTAAGACCATTCGCTAGCACACTGGAGAAACATCCAGTAACCGGTTCACTGGAGGCTGAGAAGATGCCCTGCTTGTGCGGAGCAGTAGGAGGCCCCTCAGGGAAGTTAGACCAGGCTGAAAGGCAGATCTTCAAAGCCTCTTCAGTTGACTTCTTTCCTGCTTAGAAACAGCTTCAATCCAAGTGACTTCTCTGTCTTCTCTACCACTTGTTCCTTGTTGACATTGTGACCAGGAATGTGTGAGTCCTGTGTCTGTTTACCTGCATTCCCCTCCTTAACCTCACCTGTCTGTGCAGGGTCACAGGGAAGCTGATCCCTCAAGATTGGGGTGAGTCCTCAGGCCTCTGTGGCTGCAGGTGTCTGGCTGGGCCCTGCCAGTGTGAGGCCCTGGTAGCAGAATAGAGCTGGGAGATAGAGCGAATCCCCCAGGTATTTCTCCTCTTTATTTCCCCACAGACAGGGTTCTGGCAACAGCTGTGTGGCTCCAGTTTCCATTGGACGGGCCCCCAGGGTATTAGCTTCGCTGGATGCCTGCTGCCACTGAGCTGCTGTCATCCCACCGCTTGCCTTTGTCCCTCCTGCCTCCCAGTGGTTCCACCTGCCTCCTTCTGCTAATGTCCAGGTTGTCTTTCTTGGGTGCTTTGCTCTCAGTTAACTCCTTATTCTTTCACTTTATCCGTGTTCAGGTTCATTTGTTTTCCTTTGAGACTTCTGAGTAATAAAATGGCCATTGTAAAAAAGCTTGGTGCTCGTAGGAAACAGTGGTTCGTGAGGAAAGAAGGATGTGAAAGTAGTCGCAGCACCGGGCTGTGCTAATTCTAGTTGGAGGCAGTGCTGATGTGTCTTGTAGCCACAGAGGCACACACCCGCCTTCCCAGGGGCCCTCCCAGCCTCCCAGTGTAGGAAATGTTACTTTAGGCTGCCTGATGTTCTGCCTGTTAAACGTTACTCTGTAGAATTCCTCCTGAAGATTAGGTCATTATCAGCCCGCTGCCCGCAGTGTGCATTATTCCTTTCCTACTGCTTTTCTCTCATTGTAGAAAGTAGTTGGTTTTGGAGTTTGGTGCACCATTTTCATAAAGGAAGAGCAGATACTATTGCCCAAAGGAAGAGAGGCCTAGTGTTGGTCCTATGGCTCTGTCTTCTTTGGGAAATGTTCACAGAGAAATGCTTGGTGTATTTATTTCTCAGACAAAAAGCAGATTGTGTGGTATTATTTCACTCTTAAAAATGTCTTGAGTTTATAAAACGAATGATTAAAACTGGTAATTTTTGGATGATGAGATTATTGGCACCTTTTTTCCTCGATACTCTGTTTTCAGAGTTCATTTGCCGTGAAAATAAAGAGATGAATTTTGTAATTGGAGGTCAGTAAATATTAGAGTGTGGTGTGTAGCTTGACAGTGGACTCAGACATGCCAGCAAGCGAGGATGGAGCAGGACCCAGGCTGTGCTTTGTTTTCTACAGAAGCCTGCTATGAGTCCAGCCAGCTGGGTGGCAGCTAATAGCAACAGTATCAACAGGCAGCACAGGAATTGCTGGGTAGGTGTTGGACAAACACAGAAACAAAGGTGGAACCGTACCAAAGGGGGAAAAAAATCTCCTTAAATAATGGATAAAGCCAGCTCTCTTCAAAAGAAAGGAAACTTTCCTTCCTCTGTTATCTTGACTGAAAACTCAGGCTACAGATACTCAGCTTTGATCTGCTGTGCTGTTGATTAAATAAGCTTTATTTGTGGATCATGACAAATTATAACTAGTACTGCAAAGAATGGGAATTTCAGAACACTTAAATAAATATGCTCATGCAAAACCTATACCTAGACCAAGAAGCAGCTGTCCAAACAGAACAAGGGAACACTGCATGGCTTAAAATCAGGAAAGGTGTGCACCTGGGCTATGTGCTTTCTCCATACCTGTTCAGTCTGTATGCTGAGCAGGTCAGTGAGAAGCTGAACAATATGAAGAAGAATGTAACATACGAATTGGAGCAAGACTCATCAACAAGCTGCAATATACAGATGACACAGCCTTTAAGAAAGTGAAGAGAACTTGTAGCTCTTGCTACAGAAGATCAAAGACAATAGCCTTCAATATGATTTTAACATCAGGGAAATAAAAATCCTCACCACTGTACAAATAGTCAACATCATGATGGAGAAAAGACTGAAATTATCAAGGATTTCATTTTACCTGAATCCATATTTAACACCCAGAGCAACAGCAGTCAAGATATCAAAAGACATAATGTATTTGGAAAATCTGTTATTGTCAGGGACCTCTTTAAAATGTTAAGAGCAAGAATGTCAGTTTAAAGACTGAGGTGTGCCTGATCGAAACCATAATATTTTCAGTTGCTTTTTTGCTTCTGAAAGCTGAACAGTGAATAAGAGTGACAGAAGAAGAATTGATGTTGGAGTAAAGTACCTGCCAAAAAAAACCAAGTGCGGCCAGGTGCTCCTTCAAGGCACAGATGGTGAAATGTCTCACATACAGTAGGAGTGTTGACAGGAGGGGCTGGAAAAGAGCATGACACTGGGAAAGGTGGAGGGTCAGAGACTGGAGAGAAAGACCCTCCCTAGGAGGGATCGACACAGTGACTGTAACAGTGGGGCTTGTGCGCTTGGCTCAGGAGAGGGCGAGGCTCTCAGCTGTTGTTTGCAGCATCACCAGGGATCATAATCAACATCAGTGGCACCCAAGAAGAACAAGAGCATAGGTTTGCCTGGGAACCGAACTTCCTCCACTTGCTCTTTTTAGATTGTAAGATCATTTTCCATTCCGGTCAGTTTAGAACCTTACTTGGGGAATGTGTGTACAGAGACAGGGCGTTTTTTGTTTACCTTTGTAGCCACAGGGTGGCATAGGGCCTGGAACACATAAGCATTCAATAAATGCTTGTAGAACAAATGAAGGAAAGAAGAAATAAATGAAGATTGCACAGGACAGAAACCCAGCATGCAAGTGTGTACTTGCTTCATCCAATGCCTGGATCCCCCAAGTTGGTTCTAAAGCTCCAAAGGTAAAATCTTCACAACCTCCCTTACCCCCATTATGAGCACCCCAGACCCAGCACCTCAGAGAAGAGCTGAGAATCAGGGCCTCATAGAGACCTGAACTGGAACAATCCTCTAGTCCGCAAGTAGGAGCTGGTGGCGCAGTCTTTTCATTCATGTGCTTCTCTTTGCTGCTCCTTTTCCTTATCCAAGAATCTGCAATGCCTCCCTTCCTTTCTGGGCGTTCTTAAGGCCAAATGCATCTTCTTGTATTCACTCATTCACTACATACTTGATGGTGGTCCTCTCAGAAGGAAACAGTAAACAGAGGAGAGTCACTATTCCCATCGCAAAGAGCTTCCAGGCAGTGAAAGAAGGGCTAACAGTGGTTCCTGCTGCTCCCCTGATGTGAGCGGTTGACCAGGTAGAATGGATTGCTTGCAGGTTACCTCTGAGCTGTGCTACCCTAAAGGATTTTTCTCAGTGACTTGATTTATATCTTGTGCTCTCAGTATCTGTTTCTCTCCTTGCAGAAAAATTGGCCTGTCTTTTCTGAGTGTGCGGGCAAAGTTTTTGTATCTCTTCTTTCCCCGACAGGTGAACTTTAACGAGCCCTTGTCCATGCTTCAGCGCCTTACTGAGGATCTGGAATATCATGAGCTGTTAGACCGAGCTGCAAAGTGTGAGAACTCTCTAGAACAGCTCTGTTATGTTGCAGCTTTCACCGTGTCCTCCTACTCCACCACTGTCTTCCGTACCAGCAAGCCATTCAACCCGCTCCTTGGGGAGACCTTTGAACTTGACCGGCTGGAGGAGAATGGGTATCGATCCCTCTGTGAGCAGGTAAAGGGACTCAAGGAGGACTCAGACATTTTCTTTTTGAAGAGAAGTTGATTCTCCGGGTGTTACTACTGGGTGAAGCTTGGTCTCTGCCCTCGTGCTCCCCCTTTAGGAAAGACTAAAGCCCCCTGCTGGTGGTGTCGGGTACTGCCAGCTCCTTGTGACAGACAAGCTGAAACCTCGCCTGGTCTGGCGCTGTCTTCAGAGTCCTCTGCTGTGCCTGAGTCTGTCACTGTATTTCTTGTGTCCCTCTAGACCCCTTTGCTGATCCTTTTCCAAGCATAATGTCCTTCTTTAGGTACTGGTCTCTCCACATGACACACCAAATCATGTGAGACAAAATCTCACCAGTCTTGCTTCTAAGAAGCTGTGCTGTGGATTCTAAGACAGATTGATTGATTTGGCAGTCCATGGCACAGTCAGTATTGTTTGCTAACATCACAATTCAAAGGCAACAAATCTTCCCTGATCATCTTTATTGATTGTCCAATTTAATCAAATGGATATGAAGCAATTGAAAGTCCCCTTGGCCCAAGTCTGGCACACTTTAGTCTTTAAAGCAATACTTCTGCTCTTTAGTTCTTTAGAGAGGACTTTGGTAGCAGCTTTGCCCTTTGCTGTACATGTTCATTGCTGTTACGTGCATGTGACTGTGGATCCAAGTGAAATGAATTCCCAGCTGTGGTGGATGTGAAAACATCAGGTGTGGACTGCAGATGTTTATCAGCAATTACAGGGCAGCGGGAGCTCTGGTGCCTTAGTGGTCAGTGCTGCCATCCCCAAGGCACTTGGTTCAAATCCACTAGGTGCTCGAGAAAGGCAGACAGCCATTGACCTCCTTTGTGATTTACAGCCTCTGAAAACCTGCTGGAGGGTCAGTTATCAGTAGGTCCAATTTGATGTCACTTAACTATAATAACATCCTTCCTTTCTGTCTTGTTAATGCAAATCTCTGGTTTCTTCTAGGTGAGTCACCACCCCCCTGCTGCTGCTCACCATGCTGAATCCAAGAATGGCTGGACATTGCGTCAGGAGATCAAAATCACCAGCAAGTTTCGAGGCAAATACCTCTCCATTATGCCGCTCGGTAAGGCCGCAGTCTTTGCAAGTACTGATGTTGCAAGAACGAACTGTTTCCTGGCTTGGAGAAGCGTTAAGAGTCTGGATCCTAGAGGTCTGATCTAAACACTGAATCTTACTCTGTGGCTTTGAATAAGCCATTTGACTTCTCAGTTACCGAATGTGTGAGGAAGTCAGAGACAGGCTTGTATAGTCCTTCTCTTCTTAGCAATGTGTAGCATCTTTAAGCACTGCCTTAGAATATAGTTTCTAAACTGTTTTTGTTTTCCATTCTGCCTGGCTTCATTTAATTGGTATCATCATTTCCCCCATTATCCCAGCAGTCAGGGTATACAGAAAGCAGGGGATCTGCTGGCCGATTGGAACTCTTGTGATCACAAGGATTGATTTCCTGGATAGTCCCTCTCTCTTTTTCTCTTTTCATCTACTAAATGAGCTAGGCAAAATTTGCACTACTGAAGGCCTGAGGCCTTGGGGAAAATGAGGTTGCAGAAAAGTATTCTAGAGAGCCCTGCTCCTCTCTTTACTGAGCAGGCGTGTTTGGCCCTGCGTGTGCCGCGGCATGCGTGCTAATTCACAGAAAGAGAGGAAAAAAGCCACAGAGTGGATGCTCAGTCAGAGCAGACCAAGTGACTCCCCAGAGAAAGAGATGGCAATACCTGCTGTCCCATAGCTTTTGCTTTTTCCTGTTACTGCTACCTTTTCCTGGAAGCTGAAAGGGCAGGGAAACAAATTTGCCCTCAGAGTCTCCAGAATAACCGCTGGCTATCTAACATTGGATTTTAGAATTCTGCCCTCAGAATTGTAAGAAAATAGTGTTGTTTTAAGTCATTAAGTTTGGGCACTTTGTTACACTAGCAAGAGAAAACTAATCCACAGGCTACTAGTGTCTGTAGCAGAAGTATCAACTGATAATTGAGCACACACTGTATGCCAGAAACTACCTACTGAGGATACAGCAGTAAATAGAACCGACTTTGGCCTTATATTAGACTCTGAGGGCCAAAACAAACTGAGTGGCTTAAAATAACAAAAATTTATACCTTCATAGTTGAGGAGGCCAGAAGTCTGAAATCCATGTGTCAACAAAGCTAGTTCTTTCTGGAGACTGAAGGCGAATCTGTGTCATGCTCCTCTTGCTTCTAGTGGTTTCTGGCAGTCCTTGGTGAGTCTTGGCTTGTAGACACTGCACTTCAGTCTCCCTCTCTAGTGTCATATGACCGTCTTCACTAGTGTTTGTCTATCTTCACATGGTCGTCTTTTAAGAACATCGTCACTGAACATGGGACCCAACCTAATCCAGTCTGATCTCATCTTAAATAATTATATCTGCAAGGAACCTCTTTCCAAATAAGGTCTCATTCTGAGGTTCTTAGGTGGACCTGAATTTTGTAGAACACTGATCAAGCCAGTACATTTCTCCTTTAGTCTATTCTTTCAGGAAATTAAAAAAGTAAAGATAGGAATAATTTAACACAATGAAGAGAATAAAGTGGAAATAGGTAATAATGATTGAAAATAGGTCTGTATGTATAAAATATGAGTGAGGGCAGTGTGGGAATGGCCATATCTGACCTCTGCTAACTCTACAAGTGGAGACTGTCCTTCCACAACTTCCGATGAATTGAGTACATTACAGGATGTGATTACACTTTATCATAGTCACAAGTTAGCATTCTAACTCATCTTTTCAGTGACACTTTTATAATAGACTAAAATAGCTGATGCAGAGTGAGCAGGGAGGTGAGTGATGGTGGATGATTTTAAGGAGTTAGGGAAGGAAAGATCTTGTAGGGCCTTACAGGCCATAGTTGGATTTTAGGCTAAGCTTACTGGGAAGTGATTTGAGAGCTTTTTTAGAATATGATAACTTTATATGACTTTGTTTTATGGACTTATGTTTTTAAAATACCATTTTGGCTAGAGACTCTTGGGACAAAAGTAGAAACAGAGATCAAAAGAATTTTTCAGAGGTTTATTTAGGCAAGAGATGATGGTGACAAAGTACAGTGGTGGTGGAATACGAGCAATTGATTTTAAGATGTACTTGTTGTTATGTGCCATCAGGTTGGAACCAACGCGTAGCTGACCCTCCAGCAGGTTTTTAGTGGTTGTACATCATACGGGAAGAGATTGCCCATCTTTCTCCCTGAAAACAGCTAATAGGTTCAACTGTCCTTTTGAGTAGACAGTAGAGCTTGACCACCAAAGCGCCTAAGATGTATTTAGGTAAAGCGAACATTTTGAGGATGGCTGTAAGGATTGAAGGAGCGGATACTGAGAGCAGGGCACTATCTACAGCAGGTGTCTTCACCAGAGGAGTTGTCTTTATCTGTAACGTCGTTGGCATCCTCAGAAGAAACAGCCTTCGTCAGTACTGCTGCTCAGGCTACCAGGGCAACTTGAACAAAGGCTTGGGCTGTCACTTTTTTTTAAAGTCACTGGGACAGTGGTAACATGGGGAAGGCTGAGTCTGACTTCTCTCTACTTCATGAAAGGGAACTGTCCCCATTGTACCAGACAAATAGCTACATGATCAGATATGCCACCCCCCATGCTTTTGCTCCTATTTCTATGACTTTTTGGGTCCAATGTTCTTTGCATACTGACTCACAGACTTTACTCACATTTGTGAGATTTAGGTTGGGGAGTGGGGGTAAACAAAGACTATCCTGCAGTGTAAGTCCAGGTTTAGTGCAGCAGTCTCAAGCCAGATTAACAAGACGCAGTTCCTCAGGTAGTGAAAGTCCAGGTTTAGTTCAGCTTCACAAATGCACCTCTGATTTCTTTAGTCATCCAGCAAACTTTATCGCAGAGCAGTTAGAAGTCAGCTTTTCCTTCAAACATCCAGAAAGCAAAACCTTTCACTATGGCTCCACCTCCAAGGTTCCTCTGGTTACGCCTTGCCACAGTCTCTTCAACCTCTCTCCACCACTGTTTTTCACAGTGTGGAAATCACTCTCTTACATTGGTCCCACAGCTATTTATGATTTCCGAGACCGGGTGTCTGCAGTTAAGGTAGTAAAAGACGTGCCCCCAACAGGAGCTAACTAAATGAATAGAGAAAGTTTCTGATACCACAGTCATATTTAGAGAATTTTTTTCATTATTGATGGACTTGACTCTTAACGTGTGCTCTGTGTGTGTGTGTGAGAGAGAGAGAGAGAGAGATGGATATGTGACTTTAAAAAAAGTACTTTATTACTTGGAATTTCCAGTTAGCTCTCTTTAAACCATATTAAATGCCTATGTTTTAAGAAGTCTAGCAGATAAACATTTTTTCTTATTTCTTTTGTGTGAGATGGGATTATCTCAAGCTTCGAAAATTTGTGCTCTAGACACTTCTGGCTTCATTGTCATACCTTTTTTGCTTCCAGGTACTATTCACTGTATTTTCCATGCAACTGGGCACCACTACACTTGGAAGAAAGTTACCACAACGGTGCACAACATTATTGTTGGCAAGCTGTGGATAGACCAGGTAAGGAAAGGTGGCCTCCATGTTTCTGAAGCCTGTTACTCCTTTGCAAAGGCACATCTTTACAGTGCAGGGATATAAGAAGATCCATTTTTTAGTGTGCCTTTAAGAACTTGCAGGTAAGTTGGAACAGGTGCATATAGTTGTTCTTATTTAGCATGAAAAGGCTCAAGTCTTTTTTTTCCATGATTTAAAAGCTGCATGCATAGCAAGTGAGGTGGATGTGATGATGAAGTAGTTGTGAGTCGGGGGTTCCGTCATTGCAGAGTGAGGGCGAATTTTACTTCATGTTAAAGAACAATTCTGAGTTGTCTGTAAATCAGATGTTCATAACTGGAGACTTCGTGTACTTGGGAAATGGGAACTGGGCTCCAGAATGTTCCTGATTCCTAAGTTTCTCCTTGGGCTCTTCACTCAGGCAGTAGTATCCTTCCCACTTCCCCACCCCATCACATAACTGATCTGATATTTTGTTACTAATCACAGATGACTAAATTAGAACATTCTCTCAATGACTCAGGACTGTTTTGGACACTGTGAAGGACAGAAGTAAACAGTAAACGTCCCATTCTTTCACTTTTTTATCAGACATTTCTTTCCAAGCTGGTATGAGATGCCCTAAGATAGTTGCTTATTAATTGCTGGTTTTCTTTTAAGACAAGAATAGCAGGAAAAACTTACTCCAAGAAGTCAGGAGAGGTTTCACAGTAGAATTGAGCTAAGGCTTCAAGAATGGATGGGATTTGAACCATAGGAAGGAGGGAAAAGAAATATAGAAAAGCTTGCTGTATCGGACCTTGAAATTGTGAGTGGATTGAATTTCATGAAATTGTGACTTAATCATTGGGTTCATGAAAAGTGCTAGCAGAGTTTTGTTTTGAAAATGAAAATAATGCTAATGTTTGTGTAGTAAAGACTACCTGAGGACCTTGTTAACAATGTAGATTCTGATGCGATGTGTCTAGTCTGGAAATGCAAATTCTCAGCAGGGGTTCATCCACGTTCCTGGTGGAAGGTCACACCTGAGCTTTGCCACGCAATTCAGAACAAAACAAATCATTTGATCGCAACCTGGAATACCAAGGCTCCAAGGGATTGGGCGTTTCCAAGGTTGATTGGGACCTGGAGTGTCAGATGGGAAAGAAAGGCACTGAAATGTGGGGTTTGGAGGATCATGAAGTTACCTGTCTTTGTAAAACACTTCTTTTCATTTTACAGTCTGGTGAAATTGAGATTGTGAATCACAAGACAGGAGACGAGTGCAATCTTAAGTTTGTTCCTTACAGCTACTTCTCAAGAGATGTGGCGAGAAAGGTGAGGGAATAACATTATTTTTCACTTCACATATGTCCCTTAGAAAGCCTACTCCTGAAGGGCTCATTTATATATTTCCTGAACAGCTGAGTAAAGAAAGTAGAGGGGAGGAGACAGTCAGCAGGAAAAGGACCTAAACTAATTGTGTTGTTGAACTGAAACCTGAAGATGACAGATGACAAAAGTTAAGGGGCAGGAGAGATTAAAAGTGGGACACACAGAGAAAAGACTGATAAAAAAGAGTGCAGGGAGAAAGCAGGGTGGTCTGACCCCTGGGTAGTTTGAGGGAGCGTTGTGTTACCGCTGTAGAGAAATTGTGCCAGGAGTTTGGGTGGAGTGAGGAACAACTGGAGTTAAAGAAGTAATATTATCATTTTAAGCACCATTCAGAGCCTGCTACATATTCTACTAAGAATTCCTATATGAGGAGATGATAATGAGACCCCCCATTCGAGGCTTAGTTACTTCAAGCAATATAAGAAATCACAACAAAATCATTTGGCCTCATGTGTCTGTCAGCAGGATTTGGCCAGTTTTTGCCCTACGACCTTTGCTTCTGGAGTAGTCAGGTCAGCTGACCCACAGTAGAGTGAAACCTTGCTCTCTGTCTTTGCAGGTGACAGGGGAGGTGACAGATTCTTCAGGAAAGGTTCACTTTGCCCTTCTGGGGACGTGGGATGAGAAGATGGATTGTTTCAAAGTACAGCCAGTCATTGGGGAAAACGGAGGGGATGCTCGGCAGAGAGGCCATGAGGCAGAGGAGAGCAGAATCATGCTCTGGAAAAGGAACCCCTTACCGTGAGTACCCCTGTGTGCGTGCCACCCAGAAGCCACACTAGCTGTGGCTTCAGGGCAGTAGTGATGACTTTTTTACCTGCCTTCCCACTTAATTATGTTGAGGGATTGAGCCTGGAAGACTGAAGCCTTTATAGAAATTACCAGAAGATTGTTACTGTATCATCTTTTGTTTTAGCAAACCTTGTCTCAGGCAGTTCAGATTTATCAGGCCACATCTATCAAAGACTTATTTGTTGCTTTCTAAAAGACCTTAGGCATATGTTCAGAAGGATATTTTCTTCTTACAATTTGGAGCAAATGTTTTGGAGCCGCTAAGTCGAGGTTGTTTGTTACCTAACACTGTTCAGTCTTCTCGGAATAGCTCCGGTTCTGTGAGAAAGAAGATAGAGAGGAGATGAGACAAGGATGAGGAGTTTACGCTTAACAGGATGTCTCCTGTTCTTTATGAATGTTGGTCGTCTCAGCAGAGGCTGCCACGTGCACAGGAGACTCTCGAGGCATGCTGGGGAGGACGTAGGGAGCATCCTTAAGGACAGGCGTCTGACCCGGTCCTGGATTCTTGGAGTCCTGGTGGTGATGAGCTCAGGCAGTGCGCTTAGCTCTTGCTAAGAGTTCTAGCACTGCCCTTTCTTTTTTTATCATTTTCTTTTAGGAAAAACGCAGAAAACATGTACTACTTCTCAGAGCTTGCTCTGACCCTCAATGCCTGGGAAGGCGGTACTGCCCCCACAGACAGCCGATTACGGCCTGACCAGAGACTAATGGAGAACGGACGCTGGGATGAAGCCAATGCTGAGAAGCAGCGCCTCGAGGAAAAACAGAGACTTTCCAGGAAGAAGCGAGAAGCCGAAGCTATGAAAGCCACAGAAGATGGTAAGAGACCTGCCTCCTCCTCCGCTCCCTGGGGCCTGAGAGTCGAATGCCGGCATGCTTTCAGCTCTAATCCTGGTTCTCTTTCCCCGCTTGCTTGTAGGCACACCCTATGATCCCTATAAGGCTCTGTGGTTTGAGCGGAAGAAGGATCCTGTCACCAAGGAGCTAACCCATATTTATCGGGGAGGATACTGGGAGTGTAAGGAGAAGCAGGACTGGAACAAATGCCCGGACATTTTCTGAGCTGGCGGGAGCCAGGCCGAGGGGGATCCAAGGAGAAGAGGACAGAGTGCGTGGGAAGATGGCACTGGACTTCCTGACCAGTGCTCTCCTCAAGTTTGTCTGTCTTAACCAATCATTTTTTTCCAAATCAATCACCAGGAGCAGACGCCAGTGGTGGTGATTGGCTGGTTGCCTTAGCTGATTGAACCTGAAATCGACGTACTACTAGATGCCGATGTGTGTGAGGGAGAGGTTTGCTTAGTGGCTGAGAGTTAGTGTTGTTTCACATCTGCAGCGTCAAGGATTCTTGACTCTTCCTCCTCCCTCTGCCCCCATTTAAGACGATGCCACCACCCTCCCCCTCCTTGTAGTATTCCATTCAGCCAAAATCTGTGTAAGATTATGATTCAGGGGCATTTTGGTGCTGTTCAGAGCAAGAGCTGATAATTTGAAGTTCCTGTAAAAAGAAACCTGTCCAAGTCCCCGAGGGTGGCCTGGAGAACGGCTGCGGTGGAGCACAGGTGTAACGGGAGCCCTGCTCACCAGAGGGGTTCATGGACAGGGGTGCCTGCCCGAGGGATCTTCCTGGAGCGGCTCGAGTACATTCTTGGAAGCTTCTATCTTCATTTGCATAAAACACACTTCTGCTGTTCTCCATCTCTTTTGATGGCCCCCAGAGGCCACTTGATGGGTGGTTGGTAGGCGGTTGTGTTACTCTCATGAAGGGATTTTATGGACTTCCTCAGGTGGAGAACTTCAGAGCACACGAGGAAGGCAGGATGAATAGACTGCTGGCCGGCTGCCTTCCTCGCCCCTCCTCACCCCCATCCTCATCGCCTTCCTAGTCTCTTCTTCAGGCCGAGGACCGATCCTGCCTGTGCCCCAGTGCGAAGCAAAACACAGCCTACCCTGTTCTGTTAACTACTGAATTTGCGAGAAGGCGTTAATCTGGAATAAAAGTTGTCACCACCTCAAGCCCATGGACTGGAGCCACCTCTGGAATAATGTGTTAAATATTTGTATATTATATATATGTAGAGAGAAATCTAATTTTTTTTGTTTGATTTTTTTTCTCCTTCCCATGAAGAATCTTCTTTTTTGATACTGCGTGTCTCCCTGGGACTCCTGTTGGACACACAGTGGTGTGGGGCGCAGTCCCACCTCCAGTCTTCGGGGGGCTGATTCAGGCCTGAGCAGGATCATTGGGTGGAGGGGGCAAGTTAGTCAGCGGTCTGTGGTTTGTATCCCAAGGTGTCTAAACTCTTACTTTCCTAATGAACTGACTCTTGAAAATGAAATCCTTACCTCTTCCTGTCTCTCTTCCTTCTTTTGTTAGAATGAGTATGAGTAGAGAGAGGGTCAGCAGGGGCGCTGCCTCTGTCCAGCCCTCAGGATGAACCCCCAGAGAACCTCAGGGGGTGGAGGAGAGACTGCCTGTCCTCGCGTTCCCCCATGTTTTGTTCTGTGCCTGTTGCAGTTCTTTTTCAGAAGTCTAAGCCCGTGCCACCCACCCCTGGTGGAGGATCACAAACTGAGGTGCCTTCCGTGTGTGTGTGTGTGTGTGTGTGTGTGTGTGTGTGTTTAATGTTTTGTTTGCTGCTTTGTTTCTGTTCCCTAACTGCTGAGCCTCAGCCAGTGTGGGTCCTGGGGGGGTATCATTCCAGAGGAAGCCAGCCCTCCGGGAAAGCTCGGTTGTTTGGGGGCGTTAGTTCTCCTAGCCTTTCCTCACTCGCTATCCCTCCCTGGCTGAGAAACCAGAGAGGAGCCCGGGCTGGGAACTTCCTCCAAAGAGCTGCTCTTCCTGCGAGGAGGGCCAGTGCCCCAGCTACTCTGGAGGAGGCCCCTGAAAGCGTGAGCCGCTCGGAGCTGCCCACGGAGTGGAGCGGGTGTTAGCTGGCCAAGTGGAACTGCCCTGCTTTCTCCCAGTGTCCCTCCACCATCTGCACTACATTTCCGGCTTGATTCCTATTCAGATTCTGCTGATGGAAGATACTGAGTCCCGCAGGTGGAATAAAAGTCAGTCACATCAAAACAAAACTATATTTTTTTGTTTTTTTGCCTTATTGCTTTTTTTCCAAGAAAACTACTAAATTAAATAATTTTTAAAAAGTGCCATTGTCTGTCTGATTCACTTCTATTCCCGTTGGGGTTGGTGGGAAGTGTGATATCGCATCCGGCGGGGATTTCTTCTGCATGGCAGCCTGGGAGCCCCATTCTCCATGAAATTGAAAAAGGCAGGGGGGGCCCTGAAAGGAAAATGGCACCAGATTCTATATGTTTTAAGTCTTCAAGCCCAATCTGGAAGGTCCAAGAGCAGAGGAGTTTGAACACTCCTTGTCCCTCTTGGAATAGGGGAATCCTCTCATCAAATGCTGTGCACTTGGTTCTAACAGTGACACGCCATTGTATTTCCAAAGTTGGAAATCTATGAGAGGGAACTTCCCATCATCCCCCCACGAGCCTGTAGATTCAAACCGTAGACCTTTCCATTACAGCATCAATTTCCTGTACTAATTCTACCTTGTAAAAATGGGGTCTTTTAAAAAATGAGGAATTTCATGTCTCTTGTCCCTTTCAGCTGGGCTTTTGGATTCTGAGTATTGAAGCATAAATGAGTAACTTGCAATTTGAGGCCTTTTGAGAGACTGTAGGGCAGTAAAAATGATTGTTTATGGCTTAAGTTTGGATTCAGGAGGAGACAATGGCCCAGGCACCTGGCAACCCTGTGGATCCGAGTGTCCTTCCTGTGAGGGCCTCCGGTTCACTGTTCCCGAGCACCTGCTCTGGGCTGGGCTGCTGAGTTAGGAGCTCTGGTTCCCGCTTAAACACTGAGAATGTAAAAGCTCATAGTTGAAAGGTGGAAGCCCCATGTGAGCGAATTCCCTCAGCCTCCTAGTCCTTTAACTCATATTTAAGTAGTCCTGGTGGCACAGTAGGTTAAGTATTAGACCACAAATGCAAAGGTTGGTAGTTCAGAGCCACCAACCACTCTGGAAAGAAGATGAGCGAGTGCTGCTTTAAAGATTGGGAGCCGGGGGCAGTTCTGCTTTGTCCTGGGTAGTGGTGTCTTAGAACCCACTCCATCCAATGGTGATGGGCTGGATTTCATTTAACCTTGAGCTTTGAGCTGGGGGGGGAGGCGGGGGCTTTCACTTCAAGAAGCCCTCATGGACTGTCTAGCTCCTCCCTCTCTACCACTTTTCACACTGTAATTGAAAACAGGAATTTGTTTAACCCCTGAGTTGGTGACCTCTGCATCTCTGTGCCCCAGGAAAAATTCTTTGGGTTGGAAAGCAGCGGATAGTTAAGTAATTCCCTCTCAGGTTTACGTCACGTGTGGCTGAAATTCACATTCCTGTCACTGAGTGTTTATTCATGTGTGTGGCACGGTGTTTTGTGCTTGACTACCCACTTCCTAAACCACATGCCTCTGGAAACTATGAACTTTGAGAACGGATGATTGTTAGAGAAAGGGTTCAGGTCTTTTCTTCATAGGGTCGCAGTGAGTCATGCTTGACCTGACGGCTATCGACAACAACCCCCACCCTGGGGTCTGTGGTTTGAACCTGCTCTGAAACAACATGGCAGAGAGGCTTGGTGAACTCTTCCTTAAAGGTTACAGCAGTGGCTTCGGGGGCTCATGTCCCTCCACAGGGAAGTGTTTGCTTTTTGGTCATGTGATTATTCTGTTTGTTATGGGAGTTAAGTATCTGGCCACCTTGACTGCTCAAGGCCTCATGCCCTCCAGAATGACCTATGCTGTCAGGGAGGACTCTCCCAGCCTGGCTCTTGGGAAAACCACTTATCTGTGATTTACTTCATTCTTCCAGACATGACGATTTTCCTGGCCAGCTAGAAGTCACTCCATGGACACTTGGTGGGTGTGAGGGAGATAACCTGAAAACTTGAGCACTGGTGGCCACTTGCTGTTGTTAGGGGCAGTCAGAGGCTGACCACTATTTTATGACCCCTGCTTGAGTATATTGCTGGCGCACTAGGACATGAGGAAAGCCACATCATGCTTGGAGAGGTGGAGGGTCAGTGAAAGGAAGACCCTCAAGATGGATTGAAACAGTGCCGCAAACGGCTCCAGTGTGTCAGAGACGATGAAGATGGCACAGGAGAGGACAGCGTTCAGATCAGCTGGTCACAGGGTCACTATAGGTCATACTCAACAGCACCTAACAACCACCACAGTGACATAATATGTACTGCTGAGGGGCCAACCACGCTCATGATTCAAAATTACAACTCACCAAAAGTATAAATACAATTCTAAATTGCCCTGCTTTTCAGGGAGATCTGGAGTCCCACAGAACCTTTAAATCTTTCATTTCAAGGTTTGCTCAAATTTAGCAAGCAGGTAAGAGAGAACAATTTATGGTGCTGACCTGAAATTATGTAGTAAAATTCTTGGAATATTTATACTTATGACAATGAACAATGTCTACAGGTGACAGAGGAATAATTGATGCCTTGGAGTTGTGATGCTGGAGAAGAGTCTTGAACATACCACAGACCACCAAGAAAACAAATAGGTCTGTCTTGGAGAGGGTGAAACAAAGTTTTCCCTTGGAAGCTAGGATTTGGAAGCTCTGTCTCACATACTTTGGGCATGTGGCCAGAAGGGACTGGTCTTTGGAGAAGGACATC